GTGATTTTTAAGTATCACTCCGATGATAAATTTGAAAATCAATTGTGCTTAAATCTCCTTTTTCAAAATCACTAATTCTACTCTAATTCCCAAACGCATACTTTCTAGAGTCTTTGATGTTGCTGTTGATTGATCGTGTGGTTGGATGGTATGGGCAAATATTTAAAAAGTTTTGCTATTTACTCTTTTTGTAAAATCACAAATGATTCATAAATATATTATCGTCTAACATCATAATTGGGTCTCCAATTTTCTTATTCCATCATGTTTATTCATAATACATGATTCTTGAAAAAAAAATGAATACATTGTCAATCAAATAACTAAATAATCTAATTTAAATATACAAACCATCAATGAGATCTTGATCCTCCAAAATAGTTGTCATCTCGTTATTATCAAAAGATATATTTATTTAACATAAATATAAATAGATCAAAATAATAAATATTCAATAAGACATATTTAATAAATTAAAAGTAAATTGCAAAACTTTGGAAAAGAGTTGCACATGGCTCCATGGCCAACTTTGAGCGCCTTTTAACATGAATTCTACGACGATATGGACTTACATATTTACCACCAAGAAGTTTAAAGTAATAGTAGTGATAGAGATAACGAAATTATCTAGCATTTTGATAAAGAAAAAAAAGTAATATATATATTTACACACACAAAATGAATGAAAAAAAATACAAAAAGAAAAACGTAAATCTAGAAAGCATAAAAAAGAGGTGAAAAGAAGAAAGAGAGAAAATAAATTTTGAATGACTTTTAAAATCAAAAATAAATGATCTTAAATTTTGGTTCGAAGTTGTTTAAAAAAAAAAGAAAGAGTTGATCTACTAAAAAAAATGAAAATAATTTTATGAAGTTTGAATATAGGAACCATAGTAAAAATACAAAATGACATGAAATTTGGGTTCGAAGGTGTGTTTAGTAATATATTTGTAATAATTACAACTAAATATTTAGTTTAATCTGAAGTTCTATTAATTAATTTATTAATATTTTTTTTATGAATTTTGTATATTATTATTTTACAACATTATATAATTTAGAATACATTAGGTTTTATATAATTTAATTTTAACAAACATAAAATGAGTTTATAATATGAATAATATATTTATCATTTTTAATGTAATTCTGCATCTTAAATATTTCAAATTCTGAATCTGAAAAGACTAAAAACATTCAAAAGTCGTTTTAAGAATTTCTACGAATCACATAAACCTTTTGAAAATTGAATCTCCCAAATCCTGTCAAACACGTATTCACTTAATCCATTTGATTTAGCAAATCTGAAAACAAAAAACATAATCCAAGTTTCCAACCAAATAGCTCGTCCTCACAAAATTCTGATTTCGTTGGGCCAATTTGATAGATTGACCCACCATTCTTAATCAATGGATAGCCCAACCCAATCAAACATTGACTTTGGGCAGATTTGGGCCTTTCATGAATTTGATTCACAAGCACAGATTCTATTTAGAATTTTATCGAAGCGAGCATTGCTTAACGATAATTGACAATATTTATTTTCAATTTACTATCAAATTTTTAAGCATTTCTTAATTATCGTACTTGCATGTTGTCAAAAAAAAAAAAAAAGTACTTGCCTAATCTCAATATCACTCTCATTCGGATGTGTGGTGTCTATTCATTCACGTACCTCTCCTCTACTTTCGATGTGTCACATCATTACATTGACATCAATGACATATTAATAATATTATATACCAACGAGAAAAGAGGAAAGAAAGAAAAAGACGTAGAAATTAATGCTCAATGCTTAATTAATAGACAACATTATATAAAATTTTTAAAGGTTGTAGGGTTGGCTGAAAAATGAACACGGTTGCCCTAAAGAGAAGCAAAAGAGCCCATGCATTTGTTTTCTTGCTTTTTAAAACTAATAGTTGTGGCCAACTAATTAGCAAATACTTTGAGAAAGATTTATAACTTAAATATAATTCAAAACTATAAGTAATTTGACCTTAAATAATATAATGTACGGATTAAAATATATGTCCTACAACACAATCATTCCCATTCATTCTATGAATTTAATGCTTATATGAGAGGGTGATGATAATGTATAATGAAAATATCAAATATATTTTAACCTAACATCAATTTAAGTTATTGGATTAAGTGATGATTTTGTATATGATATTAATAACTCAAGTATTGGGCTTCATGACAAACGGCTTGTCTAAAAACTTTTCTTCTTTTTTTTTTTTTCAAAATAATTCTCTATTTTTGTTAAGAAGTTTTTAAATTTTTATGTAATTAAATGACTTACAAAAAAAAAGTTTGTTTTTTTTTAATCTAAAGTGTCTTGAGTTGCCTTGAAACTTTAAGAAGGTTCATTAATTGAACTAGTGTTAATTAAGAGAGGATAAATTCAAATCTACCTTAGAAATTAGTAATTCCTATGTATTTTCCGGATCAAGTGGTTACTAGATTAGTCGAGGTGGCGTAAACTGATCTGGACACTTACGTAAAAAAAAACGAAAAAGAAAAAAAAGATGTTGATTAGATTCGGTAGCTTTGAAAACAAAGATCAAATAATTCTGTTTAGTTAATATATTTTAAAAGAATACTGGAGAGAGAGAGAATTGTTGAAACAGCGAGGCAGCTGCATGGTCAACTTGCACCATTTTTTCATGCCGACAGATAAGCTACAACTTGCTCATAAATGTGTAGTATAATTATGATTTCTTTTCAATCAAAATTTTATAATTACATCCTCAAGATTTGATTTTTTTTTTCCCCTAAAAAAAGCTTGGTTTTTAAGGAATTTAAGATATTGAACTCAAATAATAATTGCATACGCGAAAAAAGAAGGTGCAATTGATAGTATAGGTAGAAATCTATACCATTCTTTAAAATCGTTCTTAAATATGTTGTTTCCAACATGTAATAACTTTTAGAGTCATTCTCGTTCTATATGTGATATTAATTCATTCATGTGTACCTTTATTTATGTGTCACGCACACAATTAAGTACGAGGTATAGTTGGGCTTTTAACCAACGAATTACTATGGATAAGAGCAAGCTCTTCATATCAATGAAAGTGGATGGACAAATAACTATTTGATGGGGAGACTATATTATTCTCAGTTCCAGAGGAATATCGTTAGATATTGGTTAAAAAACGAGAAAGATGTTAGATATATAAATAAAACCATATTCTCATTGTACAAAACACCTCTGGGAAAGAAAGGTAAAAAGATAAGATCATGCCGAATTAGATTTAGAATAGATAATCTATATATCATTTTATCTTTGAAAATAGTGTTTACACAATAAATTGGATAAGGTCGAACATGGTTAAGGTATGACAAGTGGAATATCTTGAGTGCTCGATCAAGGAATTAATGACCTGCACAAAAAAGGCTAACACTCCAACCCTCAAATCACTTAAGTTCGAACTTAATTGGGAGTTCGAGATAGAATTTGATACCTGATGCAGCTGGAGTAAGACTCTCTATTTATAGGTTGAGGGTTCGATGGGCTATTTGACAGGCAGCTATATGTGTCGGTCCAAAGGTCGAACGTATCAGGTGCATGTGCTCGGATCTAGTCGAACGTATCGTAGCGTCTTGCGACTAAGTATGACAGGTCGAATTTGTTCAAGATGACTCTTTGAGTGTGACTTGGCCCACCTGGAGCTTTCTTTACCCTCCACGTGGTAGTGTAATTTTCTCTCATCAAGATAGAGTATCGCAATTATCACAATTAAGCTCTTTAATTAGTTTTATGGGAGAGATATATGATGTGAAGGATGCAAGCATTCATAAGAAAGTACTGATTTGTATATTAAAGAAACTATTGGGATCTCCAACGGAATTAAATAAAACTATATATTATAAATTAAAGTATTGGATCTCAAAATTATTAATTGCACTCATTAAATTTCAAAAGTTTAGATCGATTTTAGAAGCTCTCAAAGGAGGATTGGATTTGAGAAGTCCATGTGCTTTGCTTCCTACAAACGTGTTGACTTTCTTCGAGGGAAGTCTAAGGAGTAAAAAATAAAGGCCCGTTTGTTCCTTTTCTTTTTGTTTTTTTTTTCTTCATTTTCAGTAAAGATAAATCAATTACATGGCTTCACATCCATGAATTCATGTATAATAAAACAATATTTTTATTTGTGTTTTGGAATAAGTTGGAAATGAGAATAAGAAAGAAGAAATTTGTTTTAACTGTTTCCAAAATTTCTATATATTTTTTAGAATGTTCTCAAAAAGGGAGAAACAAAAAATATAGTTGCAAAAGGCTTAGATCTCTTAAGAAAATTGAAAACGAGAAACAAGAAGCGAAAATGTTATCAAACGAATCCTAAATATTTTCAATTTCTTGTTTCTCGTTTTCAAATTTATTAGGAAGTCTAAACATTTGACAACTATTTGACAACTATTTGTGTTTCTTATTTCTAGAGATATGCTCAAAATTGTATAGAAATTTTGGAAATTGTTTTTTATTTCATTTCCAATTTATTCCAAAACATAAATAAAACATTGTGTCATGTCATTCTTCAATCTAGGGCTATTAGAGCCATGCAATTCTATTTGAGAGATTTACCAAACATACCCTTAATTAATACTTCTTTTAAAAGTGTTTCTGTTGGGTTTGTAATTAAGGAGTGCAAAGTCTCACATTAATTAGAGAAGAAAATGATTTATGGTACATAAAGGAATGACAGTTATCTATTGGTATGAGGTCTTTTGGGTGAAACCAAAAGCAAAGCTGCGAGAGTTATTCCTAAAACGGACAATATCATACAATTATTGAGATACTTAAAGTACCGTTGTCCTTAACTTCAAAAATTCTAAACTCAACGAGTACTTCTAAACTTGCTTAGAGAAGAGTACTCAACTTTAAAATGCATAGAGTACTCCAAAATCTAACGATTAGAGAAAAGAAAAATCAATTGTGTATAAATAAGCCAAACCAATTGATCGGTATTTGGAATTGGATCATTTTTTATTTTCAAAGATAGAGAGAGAGAAAAAAATTAAGATGAGGAGAGAGAGAAGGCATGGATTTGTTTTTGTGTCAATTTTGGGCATAGCATTGGTGAGCTTGTTCATGGTGAAGGCAGAAAATACACTGCCATCGCCATTGAAGCTTTCATGGCATTACTACAAACTCAACACCACCTGCCCTGACGCAGAGGCTTACATCAAACACCAAGTTCAGTTGTTTTGGCAAAAGGATAAAAGCATCACTGCCAAGTTCCTGCGTTTGCTCTCTGCAGATTGCCTCTCAAAAAATGTAATATTGTATCTTTATTCGTTCACCCGAATCGATCTAATAATTTTGGACTGTGTCGATGTTTACGTTCTTGTTTGTTGTTTGTTGTTTCTGGCTTTGATTGGGTTTTTGCAGGGTTGTGATGGGTCAATACTTCTTGACGGTCCCAACTCGGAGAAAAATGCGCCACAAAACCAAGGGCTTGGAGGGTTTGAAGTGATCGACAAGATCAAAATTGTGCTTGAAGATCGATGCCCCGGCGTTGTTTCTTGTGCAGACATTCTCAACTTAGCCACTAGAGATGCGGCCCATTTGGTAAATCATATCTCTTCTTTGACGATGTTTGCTTCGATTTACTTTTGAGTCGTATATTAATTAGTAGTATTTAAGAATGATGTAGAATAATCCATATAGCAAAATAGTTATTTCAAACGAATCTTGTAAAAATGCTCGGATAAAGATTTTTAAAATAAGGATTTTTTTAATGTTAAATTATAAATTTGGTTATCGAATTTTCAATATTGTATCTAATAGATTTCTAAAACTTTATAAAATGTATAATAATATGAGCATAGCTCGCTTTAGAATTTTTCGTTTTAGGCATTACTTACTAATCTATGCATGAAGATCATTATGTTTGGATTAACCTCCTAGCAATAACTTAATCATTATAAAATTAGTTTAAAATAATTTCAGAGTTTATCCTCCAAAAAAAAGTGATCTTAAAGTAATTGACCATAAATTATTTAAAAATCACTATACGGTAATTTTGACATTTATAGAACCCTAAAAAGAGTTTATCATAATTAAAATTACTTTTACGAAAATGTAATCAAATACAAAAGTATTTTAACTAAAACCATTTTCATAAAAAATGTTTTAAGAAAAAATATCTTTTCAAAAAAAGTGTTCAAATTAAAAGGTACATCAAATTTACCTTAAATCTGGTTGTTAATTAATTTAATATCTAAATCGACATGTGAATGAATCCGATGCAGGCTGGTGCACCATCTTATCCAGTTTTTACAGGAAGAAGGGACTGTTTGACAACAAGTGTCGATGCAGTGGACTTTCCATCCCCATCTATATCATGGCAACAAGGGCTAGCATATTTCCAATCGAAGGGTCTCGATGTTTTAGACATGGCAACCTTACTAGGTAAGTTATCGAAAATTCGTACGATAATGATTTTGTTTTTAATTTTACGCTCTAACAATCTCTTTGTTAAGGAGATCCCACATGTCTCATTAACAAGGTTATAAAGTAAATGAGCTACTACGTGGGATCCTTAACATGCCTCTCAAGATCTGGCTCTTTTGGTTCATAGATTTTGGTTTGATCCTATTTTTGAAACGGATGCGTATTTGAGTTTTTTGAACTCTGATATTATATTAATATTCATGGGATTCCATCTCAAAACCAATTGGCAACTAGAGATGTAGTCATGTCTATTATAAACTTTTGTTAGGTGTCTTATCTTTCATCTCATATTTCCAATCTAAAATTCATTCTGACATATCATTGTGCTTGTGCTTGTTTACTAAAAATTTCTATTATAAACCAATTTCTTGATTAAGGATCCCACATATCCTCTTAAATTGGTTTATAAGACAAATGAGCTATTCCATTTATTGTCAAAATTGGTTCGGAGAGAAGTAGTATATGTCTATTATAAGTCCCTTATCTTTTCAATGTGGGATCCTTGACATGCACGCTCAAAATCGTGGCTCTTTTGGCTCATCAATCTTGGCCGGATTCTATTTTTGGACCAAATGCTCGTTTGAGCTTTTTGGATTTTGAGAGGAATAGTCCATGCATGTTAAGATCCTTCATCTTTTCAATGATCATCTGGTATGATATAAGAGTTCAAAAATGAAATCCAGTTAAGATTAGTAGCTCAAAAGAGCTACCATCTCGAGAAGCAGGTTAAGGATCCCAAATATACACGGACTACCCTCCTCTCATTTGTCAATTGGTTTCGAGATAGAATCTTATATGAATATTAATATGGTATTAGAGTCTAACAAGTTCAAGTGAGCATCCAATCTAAAAATGTGATCAGGCCAAAATCGGTGAACCTAAAAGAGCTACCATCTCGGAAGGACAAATAAAAGTTGTATTGGATTATTGAATCTTGATCAATATTGTTTTTATTGTGAATGATCATCAGGTGCACACTCAATGGGGAAAACACACTGTCATTACATTATGGATAGGCTATACAATTTCAATGGCACAGGAAAACCAGATCCAAGCATGAACAAATCCTTCTTAAAAGAGCTTCAAAAGAAATGCCCAAAAAAATCAAAACAAGACCCAACAGTGAACCTAACTCCAAAATCTGGAAATGACTATCAATTCACTGGTCTCTACTACTCAAGAATCCTGTCGAAGAAAGCGGTCCTCGGGATCGATCAACAACTTCTTTTCGGTGACGATACAAAGGAAATCGTCGAAGAGTTCGCTCCGAGTTCTGGATTTGAAGACTTCCGGAAGTCCTTTGCTCTCTCCATGAGTAGGATGGGAAGTTTCAAGGTCTTGACCGGAAAAGATGGCGAGATCCGGCGAGATTGCCGACGGAGAAACTAGTCCAGCAACTGCCAATTCTTGGGGGGAGAAAGAATGTATTGTTGAGAAGAAGAAAAAAAAGTTTGTCTTTGGTTTATGAATAAGATTTTATAGCATCTAATATGATATAAAATAAGAAGTACAAAAAAAATATACATATACTAATTCTAAGTTTTGAAATTTCCATTTGTATTGGTGATTCTGTTAATGGATAAGCAATAAGAATTCTAGTACATATGTAAATTATTTGTCATTTAAAATCTTTAAGGAAGCAAGATAATGAGAATATTTATATTTGTTTGAACTACTCAACTACACCACCACCTTGTTATCCTGTCTATGACATGACACTTGTATCCAAGTACCTCACAATGATTTGATATTATGGACTTTGTTACATACAAGATCCTGCTATATACTTTTTCATTTAAAGATCGGGTTGAACTTGGAAGCTTGGTCAGGGTTGTGTTCCTTCGAGCAGACTAGGTCGGCTAAGTGATCGAGGACCCAAGTAGGATTTGAACCTCCAACCAACAGTTAATAGCCGACTGTTTCAGCTCACAGATTTGACCCTCAAGTGATGATCTTACAATTTTGTGGAGACCTGTGTTTGTGGTAATCGGACCTGATCACTACTGCAAATATAGAGGCATAAAAACCAAAGGGCTGCCGACTCCAACTCCTACTTAATAAAAAAATAATAAAATCAATGTATTAAAATGAAAATATGAAATTTAACTTACCATTTCTATTAGATATGCAAAATAATTTGTTTCTAAAATTCAGGACACTACACTCATACCTCGATTATTATAGATGGCGTTTCACCTTTATAATTATACAAGAACTCACTATTTTCTTTCAATCTAAAGTGTCAAAACTCTTACAAGTTTGTCACAACACAATTTTAACTTTGAACTCCCTTTGAATCCTCTTTAATTATGCGAATGCCTCACACCATTGAGGATGTCTTGAAATCGTATTAGGAGCTAGCACTGTCTTGTTTTTATCAAGCTTGGTTTTGAGTTTTAGTTTGAAATTGAACTCGGCCCTATTTGATGATTAGGCTCCGCAACTCGTGCCTACTTGCTTAAGAGGCGAACCTTGTTTTTCACTTGTTCAATACCGGTCCGCTATGAGCAAAGCGAATAGAGGAAGGCCCGGACCGTTCCGRGAGTACCAACTACCATGTAATGTCGTAGAAACTATGTTGTAGTGAGGGGTAGTTGACTTCGTCATGTATTCTTTCGGGGGTAGGTAGTTCCTTTTGAGGGAGCCCCATGCGGACTATGGGTGCTCCTCCTCCACTAAAAGCCGCTCAGTAGCATTTGTTCTTGTGGTCTGTATAGCAGCATTAGTAGAGTAGTGATCGAACAAATTAATATGATCGAAGTGAAGAGATTCCAACTTGATTATAAGGAATAATTTACACAGAGCTTTTTTACTAATCTCGAGGGAATGAGTAAAGATCTCTTAACCGCACCGATCTTTCAGCACTAGGCGTACTACAATAGACTTTGCGTTTTTATGCTTTCGTCTCGATAATTCTATGGAACATTTGGGTGGAGTGTAATAATCGCAACTTCCCGAGATTCACACGGATGATTCCAAGATTCTAACACCACAAAATCTCTCGTTTGTAATTATGATATATCTATCCTTTCTCAAAAATTGAGCACATTTATTTTAGACTCTAAGCACGAATATAGCTAGACTACTTATTAGAAAAAAAGAGAACAAATTCCATTAATTCCTCTTCTAAACTATAATTTCTTATTCAATTGTCATCTCAAACTTAACAAAAGTCTCCGAGGAACAATCTAAGTTGAATTCAAATCCCTCTAGAAATTGTTCTTAATCGCTGCAAGACGTCGCGATTTCAGAAATAAGTATCCGATAAGTCGTCCGAGAAACGAGTGGCCCAAATATACAAACCTATAGCAAATGCAAATGTAAGAAACATAAGTTTACAAACAGTTGCAGTATTGTATTTGTCAATCTCTTCCTCAAATTCTTTGCACTCGCAGCTAAGCCTTGTGCGCTCTGTCCCGCAATGGAAGCAATACACTGTCTTGCATCTGTCTCCCAAATCAAACCACATTCAAAGAAAGAAAGAAAAAAGAAAAAAAATTCAAAATTTACATCGTCGCCTCGAAAACTTGGTCGAGTCGTGTATCAACCTCAACATGTTACCCATAATCAAGACTTTATAACAAGAAATAATTACCGTCTCCAAACGATAGCTTGAGTGGTTTGGGATCTTAAAGAATAACTTCGAAGTCTTGGATCCAAACCACATGGGTGGGACGTAACTTCAAGCAATAATGACCATTACGTACCATATATAGGGGCATAAAGTCCCAAGCGTCGCTAACTCATGGGTAATAAAAAAAATAAAATAAAAAATAACAAGAAAGGATTATGGATAGGGGATATGGAATACAAATTAGTTTAAATATAGTCCATCTAATATATAAGCTAAAGTAGATAGGATAGAAGTTTATGTTTTACCTTAGTTTTCAAATTCTATGCTTTTTTTTGTTTTTTTTTAAGTTGCTTAGATTTTAAAATTAACATTTAAACTACATTATGTCAAATAATTTGCATATATCAGATATGGTAGTTGGTTTAAATAGAGTTCAATCGATTATATAAAACTAATCAAGGTAATCTAGTAAAACTATCATATATTCATTCATATTTTTCCACTCATTTGAAGATTTGATTCTAGAACATTTGGGATCGATGATTTCAAGTTTTTAGTCTCGTCTTTGTCATCAAAATCATCTCTCTTTTTTTTGGTATGTCGTTTTGTCCTAATGAAATGGTATACCTCGTCAAAAGTCTAAGAAATATTTATCAACGTAAATATGTTTTTGAGGATTAGCTTTTTAAAAGGCAAATTCGATTTTTTTTTTTAAATATTAGAGTGATTAAAAAAAATTGGGAAAATAGAGTAGTTCCAAAACTATTTTGAAAAACAGGATTTTTATTTGTACTATTATTTTGTTGTCTCTATGCAAATGATGTATATACAAGGATGGGTCTCTTAAAATTTTCTTACATATATTTCTCAACCCCATATTTTTCGTAGAAGAATATAATATTTACTTTAAAATGTTCATATTTTGTAAAATTGAAAAAAAAAATTGATTTTGTGGGGATAGATTTTTCAGTAAGTTAATTTGGTAAATTTTTTTCAAAAAAATTATTAAAGGCTGATTTTGTGGGATTAGATGTGACACATCAAAAAAATTCGTTTTGGAAGTATCTATTTTCCCAATTTCTCTAGTATTCCAAAGAACCCACAACGGTAGTTGTTTCAATGCCAGATGAGAAACAAAAAATGGACTACCAAAACACTAATGAATTAAAAAAGAAATAATAATAATAATAATAAATTAGAAACAATACATGAAAAAAAACTGCCATTAACCCAGAAAAGAGAAAGGAGAAGAGTAAGAAATTGGTTTAAATCTAATAAATCTAAACTATCTAGTACCCATCATCTAAAATCAGATCCTGCTAGATTAATCATTGAAGAATTAAACAAACAAGAAAACCAAATCTCTTAATTTAAATTAGATGAGAAACAAGAAACAAAAACATAATTAAATACCTGCATTTGACGATGCAAAATCCAAGGTTCGGGACAAGCTCGGTATACATCCGACATTTAGGGCACGATGACAGCTTCTTCTTCTTTCCCAAAGTCATTTCTATAAACAACATATCATTCAAACTAATGAAGTCCCGTCTGCTCACATTGCACCGCCGGCCTTCGTGCCACGCCGTCTGGCACAAGAAGCAGAACAATCTCTTGCACGCCGGGCATGCCGCCCTCGTCACATACGAGGGGGAGCCGCCGCAGCA